GTTCTTGAAAATATTTCCACCGTGACGGAGCTAGATAATTTGGCATTGTTATTTATTGCGGTTCATTCTTATGAAAATATTTGAAAGTGATTTATTAATTTTTTTGAATAAAAACAACATTAATTAAATAATATTCAGTATGTTCCATCACAATTATAGGAATACTGATACTAATCCTACTAATTCATTCGAGTGAAGTAACTGTCCAATTACAAATTATCAACACAGACCCAACCCAAGAACTTTTACTCTTCCTCCGAAGTTTCTCTAAACAGGAATCCATGAAAAATACACGAATAATGACGAAGAAAACTTTTATTAAAAATTCATTCAACTTAGGTATCTATTGCCATCGGTTAAGGTCAACCTCCGTTCTAGAAAAATTAATTTGCATTTGAATAGGAATATGTTGCTCATAGTAAACGAGGTCAACATTTTTGAAACAAAAATCGAAGCATGGAAAATCGATAAAAGTACATAAAGTAACCAGTACCTAAGTGAACCAAATAATTGATAAGTGTCTACACATTTTTTTTACCGAAAAAATTCTGGTCCACCTGGGCGAACGCGCTGGTCGTCCTCCTAAAGCCGTCACTGCATCAACCCATTCAGATATCCGACACGAATATCGCATTACTTGCGATAGGCGCAAGATAAAGTTTGATCCGAAATCATGTACTGTAGCGAAGAATACCTAATTCGACCGACTAAATTGAGATAAGAAATGGAGATAATCAACCTGTATTGCACAGTTTCGTCCAAGCAACACTCGTGGAGACGAGCAACTTTCTCGCGATCCTCATGCACATCGAAACCACAACAACGTTATGAATTAAAAAACGAACAACATCGAGATGCGCTTACTGGTTTTGGCAAGTGTCGCGATACTAGCAAGAGCTCAGCCCTTTTGGAAATGCTGCGACTTCGGGGAAGTCTTCAATCCTAATAGCTACCAGTGTGACGAAGACCTCACCAAGAGGCTAGAAGTGATGACCAACTTCACCAACTTCATGGCAGAAGGAGTGGACGGGACTTGTTTTGAAGCTACACAGGACGGAATCATTACCCTCCAGCTGCTATGGGGCAAGATCATCCCTAAAGCTTTAACCATAGGCAACTTTTTCCCCAAGTGCTGTCCGCTGGGCTACTTCTACAACTCCCAGCTGCATTCGTGTGCCACCAAAGAAGATTTCCAGCACGACTTCGTCCAGGGAAGGGTCGTGAAAGTCGGTCTGCCCCATTGTAAGCTCATCGTCGACAATCCTGATCCTGTAGATCCTGACGCCGATTATTGCCTGGACGAAGATTCCCAGGGAAAACTGATTAGGAGAGAGTGCAGAAAGGACAGGAATATTTGCGAGAAGCAGCGCTGCGTGAAGAAGTGCTGTCCTGACGGGAAGAGTTTTGTTGGTGGAGATCACTGCTTGGATACTTACTCCAATGGGGTGAACATGAGTTTTTCAACTGTTATTCACGATCCGAAAGGTAAATGGAGTTATTATTGACTATATATTGTTTATATTTTTCCATGAAGTATCATATGATAATATCTCGGTGTGATTGATACTACTCATACTGCATTATTTTTTATGTTATTTGAAATCAGAAACGCTTTGAAGCAAGGACATAATTGTTTATGGGTAATCTTTAAACACTATGAATGATAGTCCCTTTCGTGATCTGGCTTTCATTGAGTGAACTGGTCGAAAAAGTGTCAGCGTCACAAATTGGAAGAGAGGTTGAATCTGCAAGCAGCGAAGATCAAACAGGTGTGCTAGTACCTTTTCTTTTATTCATCTCATATTCATACATTCTTATAAATCAACCCATACATTGTCATTCTTGGCTCACTGCGTTTGCTCAGGGCACATGATTCTCGGACCCAATGATCACTTACCCCACGGTGTGGGGAGTGGTCATTGGTTGATTATGCTGGCGCGCCCTCCCGGATGTATCGGGGCTTCGGGGGATAGGGCCTGACCAGCGCACACTACGGTGAGAAAAAAAAAAAAAAAAGGTAAGACGAATATCGTCTGAGAAGAGGAGGAAAACGAATAAAATATAAAAACTTTCTCTTCGAACTCCGCAGACTCTATCCATGTCACTCTGTCAAGATGGTTGTTCTGATTATTGGAGTCCTTGGCCGAATCTCAAAATAATACCGGCTTACCACACCAAGGCAAAAATCATAACCGAACAGATGCAGAAGGCTGTCATTCTTGACACACTGCTCTTACTCAGGGCACATGATTCTCGGACCCAATGATCACTTACCCCACGGTGTCGGGAATGGTCGTTGGTTGATAATGCTACCGTGCCTTCCCGAATGTATCGGGGCTTGGTGGAATAGGGCCTGATCAGCACAAACTTCGGTAGAAAAATAATAAAGCACATAAAAACTTTGATAAACTTCAAAACCTATTTTGGATTTTTGTCTTTTTCCAAACAATTTATTCATGTATCAATAAAAAAAGTAGGGTTTCAACTTTGTTTCTGGCTGATTCATTTCCCAAGAGAATCATTTATTCATAATTTAATTTTGAACAGGCATAAAATCAGAAAATAAAAAAAATCCAGATATTATAAGGTATTGTTAGCGGTGAATATCATTAAGAGATTAATAATTGATATTGAATTTTTTACATCAAATCGTGACAGGTGATTTACATGCAATGTTTGTCCTTACAGAATCTAAGTACAACTTCATTCCATATCCAGTGTTATGGCAAGGAATTCCTCTTTCGGGATATATAGCAAACAGTGTGAAACACATGAATTTGACAATTTTTTGCGGAATTATTTCAATGGAAGCTGAGTAAGTCGCATATATATAGGATACCATAGAAGTACCTATGCCATATTCAATTTTAACCGGACTTATGTCATGAAAAGTAACTTCATTAGGATTTTTCCAGAACCTTGTTATTTCTCATTATGAAACCGAGTATCCTGTTAGCTGACAATACAGTTTGTCTCTCTGCTTATTGAAATTTATTCTATTTTATAGTAAAATATCAAAAAGTTGAATTTTTCTGTATAAAAGAGATTTATCAATTCCTTCTCCTTTGAACCTTTCACCGCTACCCAAATAGAAGAAATAATACGAGATTTAAAATACATGCATTGTCATCGGTTCTGGACCAGCATGCAAAATTTCAGGTCAATCGGATACCGGGATGAGGGTCAAATTAAACTTACAAGATTTCTTAACATACATTCAAGTCAAGTTAAAAAAAGCTTTTAAAAAGGAGATAAAATGTCCCTCATGAACTACAGACCTATTGCGCTTCTGAGCACTTTATCAAAGGTTCTAGAAAAAGGTATATCAAAAAGAATAAATAGCTTTCTATGTGAGTTTGATATACTGAATAAAAAACAACATGGATTCAGAGAAGGTCATTCCTCTGAAACGGCAACAATAGAGTTCATACAAATAATAAACGAAAAACTAGAGAGAAAGGAATCCATTATTGGACTTTTCTTCGACCCGTCACGTGCATTCGACACGCTAAACTTTGATTTCATCGTAACAAAAATAAATGCACTTGGGATTCATGGAAGCATATCACAACGGATCCGTTAATTTCTAGAAGGTCGTAAGCTAGTAGTGAAAATTAATGAACAAACTTCGGATGATTACTTAATCGACACTGGTATTCCCCAGGGGAGCGTTCTCGGTCCCTTAATTTTCTTATTGTTCATCAATGACCTTCCTGATTACATAAATGACGGAGAGGTTTATATGTTCGCAGACGATATATCCATAATAGTATCCAGTCCAGATACAAATGAGCTACTCAGACAACAATTCTCCAATTTGATAATTGGTGTAAAAAAATCGTTTGATCATACGGTATTCCAAAACCATTGCGCTATAATTCCAGAGATCCAAAACAGGAAAACTTTCCACAGAACAACTAAACAATAATAATCGGACAATAATATTTCAAGAAAGTTGCAAATTTCTAGGTACAATTGTTGATAGCAATCTCAGATGGGAGAAATGTATCACTATGATCTGCTCCAAATTGAATAAAAAATCTGATGAGTTGCCTTGATGCGAAGGGTATAATTTTTGTGTACTATGCATTTGTTTACTCGACTATAAGTTATAACATTGTAGCTTATGGTTTGGCCACCGATAGTATAAGCGTCTTTTTAGCACAAAAAAGGATAATTCGCCTGATGTTCCATTTGGACTATCCATCCTGCAGAAATATTTTCAAAGAGAAAAAATTTCTAACTTACACGAGTATTTATTTATACAAACTTCTGATTCACACCTACATTCACAAAAACAGTCTCATGCAAAATTCAAAATTTCACAACCACCAAACTCGCACAAAAACGAATTTAGACTAGAATTAGCCACATACAAAAATTACTAATATCCCCAAAATATGCAGGATACATATCGCGAATTTCTACAATTTATCACCCCATGAATTGAAAAACCAGTCGAACCTGTTCAGATTCAAGTCTAAATTGAAATCTTCTTTGCTCCTGAATGCATTCTATGATATAAAGGAATTCACGATGTGGTGTCAGAGTCCTATTGACGATTTTAATTCTATTGGACAGTTTTATACAAGTATTCTTATATTTTACAGACATTAATAATTTTTATATTTTATTTCAGCAATAAGCAAAATGTAACTATGGTATTTTGACTTGTCAACCCAATGTTTAATTGGTGTCTGATCAATAAACTTCTATTTATCTATCTATATAGCACCCCTGTAGGTACTAATAGATGTACTTGGCCTGATTGAGTACCTGATTTTCTTTTTACTAGTTACAATGCGAGTATGCTAATTTGAAAACCGGGGAGCAAACTAAATTGATTTGATCATTCAACAGGTTGCACCCGCAATGTTCATGCTTGTGAATTCCCAAAGATTTTAAATAATTGAGTTTCCAACCCTTGCTTGCATAGTGCAAAATTTCCGTATCGTTTAGATTCGGAAAATTGTGGTTGCATGCCAAGGAATGGTTTGAAAATGTCGAGTCATCATTTCTCTGTCTGAAAAACCTTTCACGTTCAGCATACCGTTTTTGTAAATTTCGACCACATTGTCCCACATAAACACTATTACACTTCGGACATTCAAGCCTGTAAGCTCCAGAATTCTTCAACTTGTCCACCTTATCTTTTTGGCATTGAAAAGGAAATCAGATAATCCGGCATGTGGTCTGAATGCCACTTCCACATTGTTTTTTCTGAAGAAATCCGCAATTATCTCTGTTCTTTTTCCAAAATATGTTAGAATTACCCATTTATTGATTTTTGGTTGTTTGACCTGAGGATATATTAATCTGTAGGTGAATTTACGGCTTTGTTTTCTGACTAACTTCTGGATAGTATCTGCGTTGAAACCATTATTATGACCTATCTGTGTAATTATATCAATTTTCCTAGCTAGATTGTTAGCGGACAAAGGCAGTGAGAATGCTCTGTGCAACATTGACTGTCTGGATGGCTAGGTTTTCTGAAAACATTGAAATGAAATTTATTCCGATTGTATGTATTGGTCAGGTCTAAGAAATTTTGAGTTTGATAAAAGTGGTAAAAACATAGGAAATAAAAGTGGTAAAAAACATGGAAAGTTTCAATTCTCTTTTCTTCATTATGATCTCCTACCACGTAGTAACGGCTACATCCATCAATTTATTTTCTTGTATAAGTTAATACACAGCATTTTTTGACATTTAGCTTCAAATTATTGTTGTGACACCATTCAAATATGATTTCGACATTCCTTTGTGTGCCCAGAAAAAATTTTTGAGGTACCTACCTTCCATACTCATACTACGCATATGCCCCAAATTTCACCGAATTAGTGTAATCGTGTAATAAAAATTTATAATTTATAACTGTTCACTTGATTAATAAAATAATTGAAACAATTTTTCCATCTAGTGAACAGAAAATTAGTTGAATTTTTCTAAAAATCATAACAAAAAATAATTATTTTCCCACTCGTGCCACGACTGTACAAACACTCGATACCGTTAACCGTTCAAGCACCCCTGAACTCTAATCATAAAACAAACGAAACAATCATCAAATCATCATATTGAGATCTCCGATACAAAATCAGAGACCGTGTCACCTCAGCACCATGCATCGGCTAATGATTAAGATAACGCGTAATCGGAAACCACGCACCGTGAAGAGTGCCTAATTCTACAGTACTAAAATTCAGTATGGAATAGAGAAAATCAACTGCGACGCTCAGTTTTCTCGAACCGACAGTCGCGAACGCAAGTACCTAACAGACCCGCGATCCTAACTCATGACATGAACAAAACAATGTTATGAATTAAAAAATAAACAATTTCGAGATGCGATTGTTGATATTCGCAAGTGTCGCGGTACTAGCAAGAGCTCAGTCGTTTTGGAAATGCTGCGATTTCGGGGAGGCCTTGGGTTCCAGCTACGAGTGCAAGGAAGACCTCACCAAGAGACTAGGGGTGGTGAGTAA